TGTGTGTGTACGCGTGCACAGGGCAGGCACTCATGCCCGCACCATCATCACAGATCCACAGAGCTGGGTACGGGGGGCTTTCCACGGCCAACCCTCCTTCCTGTGTGGGAGACGGGGTTCGGAGTGCCCCTTTCTGGCTCCGTGTGGCTTCGTTCGTAATGTGTGTTTATCAAAGGACAGATTCCTCTGAGCACCCATAAAAGGGCACGACTTGCATGACCGGCGGCGCAGCCCGCTGGATCCGTGTGTTCTGGACTTCCCAGGCTGCAGTGGTCTTTCAGCACCAGGAACAGATCCCATCTCTGCTGCCAAAAGACTGCATCACTCCTGCAAGCAGAAATGCCACAGGGCTCCAGCCAGCCTGAGCAGAAAAGTCCTGTTCAGCGCAGACTGCCTCCCTAGTAGCCTCCCTCCTGTAACCTACGAGCACAGTTTCCCTGAACCAGAGATCACCACGTTGGGATGTCACACAATTTGGGAAAGACACCAATGTCTCTCCTTTAAAAGTGTATGTGGGGGGGGTGCCTCCACCCAGCATCATTTCTGCCTCCCCCCACCCCATGAACGGGCATTGTGGCTGTGCACTTCCACGAGCCACACGGTTTTCCAGGACTATTTTTCGGGGACTATCAGTTCATTGCAGAGTGCCCCTCAGGCAAGATAAGAACAATCATGTTGTTAACCAGATAAGAGCATTCCGTGTTCCAGAAATGCCATTAGGAGGAGGGAAGCATTTTTATGAGTTTTGCCATGGCTCTATGAATCTTGCAAACTAGCAGTGTCAAGGTTGCTTAGTGAAAAGGCTGAAAACAAATCTCCGTAGTGACTTCAGAATTATCTCTAATCTGAACTAAGCCTGGTCGTGACTTCAAAATGATCTTTAATCTGAACTAAGCTTGGATGTGTGATCATTACCTCTCAAGGCCAGTGGCAATTTACAATACAACAGCTTGATACAGTTAATTTGGAGGGACAGAAATACACACCGCTTATAAAGTGGCAACTTGTTTCCCTGCCTTTGCTGATAACTGTTTTGATGTACCAGGGATGTGCATTTTGACAGACAATCCTGATCCACTCTGCTACATGAAACATCCGTTAGTCATAGATTGCTTAGGAATTTAGAGGCAAGAAGCTTTCCTTATCTATCAGCAGACTGTCTAAATGGTATCCCACAGAATCCCTCAGGAAGTTTTTGGAATACTGCAATCTGACAAAGGGTATTTGCATCGAACTACGGACAGCACGGCTAACAGAGTTATTGGCAAGCTTGGGGTTAACCTTTCCATTATCTGGAAGTGACCAACAAAGTGATTTAGGCGTGATATCAAAAATAAGGCAGGAGGTCTTGGGTAGCAGGCAAAGTCAGGGATGTCACAGAGGGGTTTTCTTGGTTTTTTCCCCCCTTTTAAGTTCAAGAAAAACGTAGCCACCTCTCAAGGAAGGAGACGCTGACCGGAGAGGTGGAGATATTCCACCAGGATGCGTTTCTATTTTGCAGCAAAATTTACCGAGTTTCCGCGGAACGTGACGGCCACCGAGGGGCAGAATGTGGAGATGTCCTGCGCCTTCCAGAGCGGCTCCGCCTCGGTGTACCTGGAGATCCAGTGGTGGTTCCTGAGGGGCCCGGAGGACCCGGAGCCTGGGGCCGAGGGGGCCGGCACGCAGGTAGCGGAGCCGCGGGGCCCCGCGTCTCTCCCACGCACCCGCCGGGTCCGCTGGGTGTCCAGCCAGGGGCTGAGGCCCAGGCTGGTGTCCCGAGCCCCTGGAGACCTGCCCGGCTCTCTGGGGGTGAACGTTGCCCAGGGCTGCCAGGGAGTGCGCTAGAATTTGTCCTGGTGACGCCTGGTTAAAATCCAGGAGGAGAAAGCCATGTTTGGGGTCTTTTCCGGCTAAATCCGGGAGTAACCTCCGCCCCTAAGTGCTGGTGCTTATTAAGACGTCTGAGTACCGGGCACGGTGGCTGACGCCGGTAATGCCGGGATTTGGGGAGGCCTAAACGGGAGAATCACTTGAGCCCAGGAGCTGGAGACCAGGCTGGGCAACATAGCCAGACGAGGGTCTCTACAAAAATGTCAAAAGCTAGCCAGGCTTGGTGGCGCGCCCCTCCGAAGGCTTGGGCGGGAGGATCGCCTGAGCCCAGGAGATGGAGACTGCGGGGAGCGGTGATACGCCACAGCACTCCAGCCCCCGCCTCCCAAAAAGTGCCCGCGGCAGCCCTGCTGCCCCAGGACATTCCTGCCCCTTTTCCTGGACTGGGGGGGGGGGGCAGGGAAGCCCTGCGAGAGGTCTCCATTCGCCCTCACCCCCTTCTAGAGCAGTTCAGCCCGGGGACCCGGGGGCGGAGGGAGACCGGGAGAACGAGGAGCGAGGGGGCGCGGCGAGGAA